AACTGTCATTGGCTTGTTTAGTTTACACTCGAAGGTGATTGGGCTCTCGGGCGAGATCCCAAATTCGTCAATCACGACTAACGTAACGTCTCCGTTCCCTCCTTCAGGGAACGAGGGTTACACAAGTAACCGAGACGATCTTCTTTATGCACCAAGAGCTTGTAACACTCCAAAGAGAAAGGAAAAATTGAAATCTCATCATATGACCACTTTAACATCTGAAAATTATGAAAGCTTGTTTCTGTCACCAATAATAAAAAAAGATAACTGCGACTTTGTATCAGACTTTGTATCTGAGTTTAAATCTAAGAATTTCTCAGAATTGCAAGATAAAAAACACAGAATTGCAAGATATAAAAGCAGAATTGTGTGTAAAAAAAAAAAGTCTGAATTGTTAGAGATACACTCAGAATTGTGAAAACAAAGTCAGAATTGTGAGAAGTTCCTTTTTAATTTTTTTTTTATTCCATGGCAGGAAAAAAAACAATTGTGAGATAGAAATTTAGAATTCTGAAAAAAGAAGTCAGAATTGTGAGATGTAATCTTGGAATTGTGAGAAAAATGTCTGAATTCTGAATTTATGTCTAGCTAATTTTTTGCCAGATATAAACTCGCAATTGCAAGTCAGAATTGAGATTTTCGATAGAAAATTTAATTGAAAAACTGTTTCTATAATTGTTGGTCTAATGCAGAGATCCTCAAATCTGGCCCACGAGATCCACTTTCCTGCAGAATTTAGCTCTAACCCTAATCAAACACACCTGAGCATGCTAATCAATGTCTTCAGGATCATTAGAAAATCACAGGTAGCTGAGTTTGATCAGGGTTGGAACTAAACTCTGCAGCGCATTGGACCTCCAGGGCAAGATTTGAAGAACCCTGGTCTAATGGTTAAGCAACTTCCTGTGTGTAGGTCATGTGGCGATAGAGATCGGTGAAGAAGACCGTCAGAGTTTAGAGGAAGACAAAACAGACGGACCAGGTGTGTTCATGGAGCGCATTCATTTCCTGTTCATATCAACTTCAGACAAACCAAACTAACCTTTCCACTTCCTGTAGACAATATTATCAAGAGGGTCTTCAACATCATCAAGTTCACCTGGGTGCTGTTTCTGACCACCGTTGAGAGCATCACCAAGTGGCTGAACTCCGTCTGCAGAGAATACATCGACATCTCCACCGTTCTGCGCATCGAGCGCTGCATGCTGACCAGAGAAGTCAAAAAGGTTCTATATATAATTAAGTCAAATAAAGTAATTAATTCAACTTTTAAGTTTAATTAACACAAAGTGGAACAAGTTTATGATGATCTAGCTGATGTTGGTCTAGAACTGATCTTGATCCTTGTTTGTCCTGCAGGGAAACGTGCCGTCCCGTGAGAGCATCCATGTGTACTACCAGAAGCAGATGAAACTGAACGGATCTCGTGAATCTGGACTGGACCGGATCAGTGAGGAGGACTCCTGCTCAAACAGAGAGCGCTGCAGACGGGCCGGCCACAGTCTGGATTCCTTCGCTTCCAGAGACAGCATGTCCAGGTCTTCATCTTTGACTTATGTTATTGTAGGGTGAATCTGACAAAAAGTCTCAAGAAATGTAGAAATTATATTTCTACATTTCAAAAGAATCAAAATAAAATAATTATTAGAAAAAATTAATTATTAAGATTTTTTGCGTTCTGACATCATTTTCATGACATTCATGACAGTTCAAGTTTTTTTCTCAGGAGCAACATCTGAGAACCAGGAGACTATTTTTTTTACAACATTTTTCTTGTTATCTTTTTCATTGCATTATGCTCCCGCTCATGTCATCTGTCCATCTGTCCATCCGTCAGTGCATACACCGAAGCCACCATGCTGTTTTCCCGTCAGTCCACCTTGGACGACTTGGACGACATGCCTCAGAATATCCCCAAAACCAGCGAACGCGCTCGTCCCAAACTGCGCAAAATGTACGGTTTGGACATGTCCAACTCCTCTGCGGACAGTGGAAGCAGCGTCATGTCCAGGTGCTGAACTCATAATCATCAAATCTTCATCACATTCATCCTCACCCTCCACACTCCCATCATATGAAGGACCAAACCTGCAGAAATGTAAAAAAATATTATATATATAGATAAATAAATAAATGTAATAATGGAAAATAAAAAAAGAAAGAAATTACTTGATAAAAACAAATATCGTTCATTTGTAATAAAATTTAATTAAAATCCTGAATTTATTTTTATAACTTTTTTCCTTTATGTATTATTTTCTGTATTTATTTTTACATTTATTTTTATTCTTTTTAAATTTTATTTACTTATTCTTTCATTTATTTTTATTTTTATTTAATTTGTTTTATTAATGTGTTTATTTGTTTATTTATTTTTAAATGTATTTATTCATGCGCTTATTTTATTATATTTGTTTATTCCCACATTTATTTATTTCCAGATTTATTTATTCATTTATTTATTTTTACTTTTCCGAGTGCAACATGGAAATGAGGGAGGCGGTCCTTGTGGAACTCCGGTGAATCATTGGTTGAGAGCTCATGCAGAAACTAATGACATTTATTATTAAAATTAATGCAATTTAATATTTATCTTATTAATATCATTATTAGTATTATAAATGTCATCTAGTGGAACTCTAAAGAAAACATTTAACATAATTAATAGTAACAACAACAGCAATAGTAATAATAATAGTGTTATTATTAATATAAAATAATACATGTATTATTTTAATAATAAAGCATATATAATGCATATGTTTTTATTATTGTAGCATAACTAAAATTATTGGTTCAACATTTTGAAAATTTTGGATGCATCAGACATCAATCATCCTCTAGAAATTAATAAAATCTTGAAAAAGGATGATATTTCAGTAGTAAATATACAAATACAAATATATATAATTGTTATTCAAAGCCAATATTTAAAGTCAAAATGTCTTAAGATGTTACTCTTATATATGTATGTTACGTTTTACATACATTGATATGTTTACAGTGATTGTAATATCTTTATAATAACAATAATATTTGTAAAATTATTATAATAATACATCAACTGTTTCCTGTTTGCGTTGTTTTTGTGGTTTTGTTTCCAGTGAAGTTACTCAGTCCGTTACACTTTTCTCTCGGCAAGGAACCAACGACATTCTAGATGAGGTCGAGGATGAGAGAGAACAGGTGGAGGCAAAAAAGAAGGAAACTGCAGAAACTGTTGAGGACAAACCTGAAGGAGCAGATCATGAGGAAGTGAAAGAGGAAGAAGTGAAACGGGAAGCGATGAATGAGCTGGCAGGGGAAGTGACACAAGAAGTGACGGATGAGCTGGCAGAGGAAGCAATACAGGAAGTGACAGATGAGCTGGCAGGGGAAGTGACACAAGAAGTGACGGATGAGCTGGCAGAGGAAGCAATACAGGAAGTGACAGATGAGCTGGCAGGGGAAGTGACACAAGAAGTGACGGATGAGCTGGCAGAGGAAGCAATACAGGAAGTGACAGGGGAGCTGGCAGAGGAAGTGATACAGGAAGTGACAGATGATCTGGCAGAGGAAGTGATACAGGAAGTGACAGATGATCTGGCAGAGGAAGAGATACAGGAAGTGACAGGTGAGCTGGCAGAGGAAGTGATACAGGAAGTGACAGATGAACTGGCAGAGGAAGTGATACAGGAAGTGACAGGAGAGCTGGCAGAGGAAGCGCTACAGGAAGTGACAGATGATCTGGCAGAGGAAGTGATACAGGAAGTGACAGGTGAGCTGGCAGAGGAAGCGATACAGGAAGTGACAGATGATCTGGCAGAGGAAGCGATACAGGAAGTGACAGGTGAGCTGGCAGAGGAAGTGATACAGGAAGTGACAGGTGAGCTGGCAGAGGAAGTGACAGGAGAAGTGGAAGAGGAACTCCAATGGGATTTGGTGGATCCAGAGGAAGCAGTTGAAGATGTTCAGGTTCTTCAGCTGGATTGTGAGGAGCATGGAGAGGAAGAGCAGTGCATTTCTGAAGATGAGGATGGTGAACAGCCAATCCGACGGGACGAAGGTGAATCATCAGGACCGGAGAACATGCAAACGGATGTGATCAGTGGGCAGCTTTTCACCCCGGACACAGACGCCCCCAACACCTCAGACGCTGACGTGCCGCCCAGCTACAGCAAAGCCGTGAGCTTCGACCGTCTGTCTGTGAGCTCAGACGACAGTGACAGTGACAAACGGCTGATGCTGATGACCCCCGACAGCAGATGCGATCTGGACGACCCTCTGCTGCCCTCCATGACCGCCAGTGAACTGCTGCTCAACAAGTGAGTTAGTCTTGATTACATTACAGCTTCTTCAGAGGGGTCCCAATACTGACATAATATCTTACTACATACCGTTGTTTCACTATTATTTATATACTATTATAGTCTTTGTAGAATTTGCTTTTTATTTTTAGATTTTCAGTTTTCTTTTTAGTTTCATTTTTAACCATTTTTGTATGTGTTTTGGTCATTTTTATCATTTTTTGTTTTGTAAAATCTTTAGTTTTAGTTTTATTTATGTTTTATTTATGCTTTTTTCATTTGTATTAGTTTTTTTATATATATTTCTAAATACTGGAATTAATTTTTATTTAAGCTTTGGTTTTAGTTTTATCTCAGGAATTTTATTATGTGCATTTATCATTTTTTATTAGTTTTTGTTTTTAAAGATATGTGACCCTGGAGCACAAAAGCAGTGTTAAGTCGCTGGGGTATATTTGTAGCAATAGCCAACAATACATTGTATGGGTCAAAATTATAGATTTTTCTTTTATGCCAAAAATCATTAGGATATTCAGTAAAGATCATGTTCCATGAAGATATTTTGTAAATTTCCTACCGTAAATATATCAAAACTTAAGTTTTGATTAGTAATATGCATTGCTAAGAACTTAATTTGGACAACTTTAAAGGAGATTTTCTCAATATTTTGCTTTTTTTTTTTGCACCCTCAGATTCCAGATTTTCAAATAGTTGTATCTCGGCCAAATATTGTCCTATCATAATAAACCACACAGCAATGGAAAGCATATTTATTCATAGAAATTGTATAAATCTCAATTTCGAAAAATTGACCCTTATGACTGGTTTTGTGGTCCACGGTCACATATTTTAAAATAGTTGCCATTTATTTTTATTTGTGCTTTAGGCTTATTGCAGTTGGCAATTTTATCATGTGCTTTTGTTTCAGTTGTTGTTTTTAAAGATATTTCTAAATAGTTGTAATTTATATTTAAGTTTTAGTTTGATCTCAGTGAATAGTTTTGTTATGTGCTATTGAAATTATTTGTTTGTTTTTAAAATGCCAAAATATTTGTAATTTTTTTTATTTATTTAAGCTTTAGATTGACTTTTATTTCAGTTAGTAATTTTAGTATTTTAACTTAAATGTATTTCATTTACTTGCCAAGCCAAGTTATATATTTATTTATATTTATATTTATTTTTATTGTTTTATTTCAGTTACTCATTTTACTTAAATTTTTTTATTTATATATAACTTTAACTCTATATCTGTAATAATATGAAATATTATTTCAGCTTTATTTCATTTAAAAAAAATTTTGTTAATAGTTTTAGTTTCAGTTAGTAATAACAACACTGGTAATACTAAAGTATGCAATTTCTCCTCACCAGCAAAACTAGTGCACAATAGAAGTCTGATTTGTTGGTTTGTGATTGGCTTCATACGGTCATTTAATGTGATTGTTTTTGCGCTGTTATCCAGAATGTTCTATGATGAGGAGCTGGAGAACTCTGAGCGTTTCTATAAATCGCAGCCGCTCGGGCTCCAGCTGTGTTATGCTCTTTATAACCTGCTGGTGGCGCACTCTGAGATGGTCTGTTACCTGGTCATCATCCTCAACCACATGATCTCAGCGTCCATGGCGACGCTGGTGCTGCCCATCCTCATCTTCCTGTGGGCGATGCTCTCCGTTCCTCGGCCCAGCAAGCGTTTCTGGATGACGGCCATCGTGTACACAGAGGTCAGGGTTTGTTTTTGGTACATTTATTTTATTTATTTATTTAGTCATTTAGCAGACGCTTTTATCCAAAGTGACTTACAAATGAGGACAACAGAAGCAATCAATTGTAGTATTAAAACAACTAAAAACAGATCCAAAACTAAAAGCTAAAACTTTATAAATACTACTTATACACATTTTAAAAATAAAGAAATTAAATAAAAATGACAAATGCATACAACAACATTTCAAAACTTAACATTTAAATGAAAAACTAAAAATAAAGCTAAAAACAATTCAGAATATGAAAGAACAAAAGGTATACGAGTATAATAATGATTCTAACATAACACTAAGCCAAACACCAAAAAAACAACTACATATATGTGTATGTACATATTATATAAATTCAATATATATATTATTTCATTTCCATTTAGTTTGTTGAAGTACTAAAATAACTCAAATTAAATAAAACTAAAACTTAATAAAAGACCTATACAGACATAATAAATTAAAATAAATAACAAATACAAATAATACAAATCAAACGACAGTAGTTTACCAGTAATCCTAAAAAATAACATAACATATATATACAGTGGTGTGAAAAAGTGTTGGCCCCCTTCCTGTTTTTTTTTATTTTTTGCATATTTGTCACACTTAATTTAACTCCGCTTTCTAAAATAATGTGGTTAATTGCAGTTCTTTCATGATTTAACAGGAGGGGGCAATTAATTTTTCACGTAGGGCCAGGTAGGTTTGGACAGCTTTTTCCCCTCAATAAATGAAATCATCATTTAAAAACTGCATTTTGCATTTACTTGCATTATCTTTGTGTAATATTTAATTTTGTTTGATGATCTGAAACATTAAAGTGTGACAAACATGCAAAAAAATAAGAAATCAGGAAGGGGGCCAACACTCTTTCACACCACTGTATATAAATTAATACCAAAGACTTATGCACTCTCTCTTTCTATATTATGAAAACTGGTAAAACAAATGAAAAATATTATAATAGTGAAATTCCTAATAGTAATTCCAAATTGCAATAGCCTATGTTTCTCTATTCAAACAACAGTGGTTGAGTAAGTGCATTTATTCAGCGATCACAATCGCAAACAGTCGAGATCTCATGACAGAACACAGACTGGTTGAGTGACGCTTTCATTTAGATCGCTAAACTCCAGCTTGTTTGTTGGTGTTTTCAGATCATCGACAGCGGCGCTTCCGCAATGAGGAGCGAGCGTGTGCGCGTGGTTGCCAGATTGCTTAAAATAAGCAAAACACTGGGCAGAAAATGTATCCTTGTAACAGCGAAGCTCTGATTCGGGGATTTGAACTCTTGATATCTGGCAACCGCACTTATGAAAGCTCGCGTAGTAGAGGCGTGTAGAGCAGTCCGCAATAACATATTGTCTCCTTATTTGGACCTTCGGCACGTTCTTTTGGGAAAGTATGCTTGAATTTGAAATATTCTATATTCACGATATTTTCTAATTTTACATCGTCGTCAAAATTATCGCTAATATTCGATATATCACCCAGCCCTAGTGATTAGCAGTAAATCTCAATCACGTACGTTCAGATGCGACCCTCAGGAGCTGCATTTACTACAAAGAGCCGTAGTTCACTGACAAGCTATGCAATATCGCGTTCATTGATGCAATAATTATATATTGATGCGTTCATTGCACTGCAGCCCTATTACCAACATTCTTCAAAATCTCATTGGAAGAAATTAAGAAATTGAAGAAATTCATACAAATCCGGAACTGGTAAATGCTGTAGAAATGAATTCTGTAGGCACAGATTCTGTGCAAGCCAAGTTATACACCATCAGGCAATCTGTGATGTAGATGAGTTTGTTGCTTCATCAGAACAGATTTGGAGAAATGTAGCATTCCATCACCAATGAATGGATCCTCTACAGTGAATGGGTGCCGTCAGAATGAGAGTCCAAACAGCTGATAAAAACATCACAAGTAATCCACACCACTCCAGTCCACCAGTTAATGTCTTGTGAAGCCAAAAGCTGCGTGTTTGTAAGAAACAAATCCATCATTAAAACAATTTTACCTCTATCTATAATATTGCTTTCTCCAGTGAAGGAGTCATCTTGTCTGAATCAGGAGAGAAATTTTTGCTTTTCAAGACATTAACTGATGGACTGGAGTGGTGTGGATTATTGTGATGTTTTTATCAGCTGTTTGGACTCTCATTCTGACGGCACCCATTCACTGCAGAGGATCCATTGATGAGCAAGTGATGCAATGCTACATTTCTCCAAATCTGTTCCCATGAAGAAACAAACTAATTTAGATCTTGGATGGCTTGAGGGTGAGGACATTTTCAGCAGATTTTAATTTTGGGTGAACTATTCCTTTAAATGTATGTATAAATAATTCATAAATGTGTTTTTATTTCCTCCAGGTCACCATCGTCGTCAAATACTTCTTCCAGTTCAGCTTTTTCCCATTCAACCAGAACCTGGAATTCAGCAAGGGGAAGCCGTACCATCCGCCCAACATCATCGGCACAGAGAAGAAAGAAGGATACGTGCACTATGACCTGGTTCAGCTGCTGGCGATCTTGGATGGCGTGAGGGTGAGGACATTTTCAGCAGATTTTAATTTTGGGTGAACTATTCCTTTAAATGTATGTATAAATAATTCATAAATGTGTTTTTATTTCCTCCAGGTCACCATCGTCGTCAAATACTTCTTCCAGTTCAGCTTTTTCCCATTCAACCAGAACCTGGAATTCAGCAAGGGGAAGCCGTACCATCCGCCCAACATCATCGGCACAGAGAAGAAAGAAGGATACGTGCACTATGACCTGGTTCAGCTGCTGGCGCTGTTTTTCCACCGATCCATACTAAAGGTTCGTACTCTCATTTGCCACATAATAGTGATAAATCTAGCAGCACTAATAAAGCTTGTCAGTAAAGCAACTTTCAAGTATAATTGTGCTTTTTATTTAAAAAATATATATATATTCTTGCGTCGAGCCCAGCTAATTAAAATATGTTCTAAGAACAGTTTGCTGATGTTCCTATGAAATTACGAAAACATTATTTCCAAAAGTTCTCAGAATGTTCAAAGTGTCCAGTTGTTTAGATGATTTAAAAAGCTTTTGTTTTTTCAGTTATGCCAACATTTAAAGGAACATGCTGTTTGATCATTTTGGGAACGTTACATTTGAATGTTTGAATGTTCTCTGAACATTCCGAAACAAACGGGTAGTAACATTTGAAATACATTAGACGAATGTCCAACTACAACATTTCTGAAAAATCGTGTAAATAATGTTTTTGTGCTTTTGAGAACATTATTAAAAACCAGATAACTTTGAACAAATGCCCTCTGCTACTTGATGAACGTTGTTAATAACTTTTGAGTAAATGTTCCCTGTTAGCTGTGAATTAGCATATGCTAAAAATAAATGCAGAATACATAGAAATTAAAAACCTAAATAAGTATATTTTATTATTATATTATATTTTGCATATTTGTTTGAGCTTTAAGATTAGCACACTAATGGATGTTGCGTTCCAAATCCTTGTTCAGAATAAATAACGGCTGCTTTGCTTGTTTTCTGCTATAGATTTGAGACGATTAGCAGCTCAGAGGAAAGATTAGAGCCAAGATTCAGCTGGAAACATAATTCACCTGACATTAAGAAATCTAAACGAAGCCTGTTGAGAGCTTTGAGAGCCCCACTAGACTGTTGAGAGCTTTGAGAACCATAAAATGTATTTTAAAATCAATTCCTAGCGTCTGAGGTTTCTCTCCTCTCCAGGTTTCAGATTATTTCAGAAAAACACAAGTAAAAAGCTTCAGCATGACCAGGATACCTAGTAAAATCTGCAGAATCGAGACCAATCTGAGACATGGAGAGGAGAAAATGATCAATTTTATAATCATACAATTTTGACTCATCTTTGACAATAAGGAACATTTAGTAACTACAGAAGTAAATCAAGTCCATTTTAACTCTTAAAAGCAAAAGCAAGGTTTACCTGTTCAAAAATGAGTGTGTGTGGGGAAAAGAATTGAAATGGACTTTATTTACTTCTACAGTTACTAAATGTTCCTTACTGTGAACGATTCATCAGTGTACATTATTGTTAAAAAAAGACAAAAAACACAAACATTTTATAATTAAAAAATAAATAATATATATTATAATACAAAAATATATATAATATAAAAAAATAAATATATAAATAATTATATATATATATATATGACCAATCTGAGACATGGAGAGGAGAAAATGATCAATTTTATAATCATACAATTTTGACTCATCTTTGACAATAAGGAACATTTAGTAACTACAGAAGTAAATCAAGTCCATTTTAACTCTTAAAAGCAAAAGCAAAGGTTTACCTGTTCAAAAATGAGTGTGTGTGGGGAAAAGAATTGAAATGGACTTTATTTACTTCTACAGTTACTAAATGTTCCTTACTGTGAATGATTCATCAGTGTACATTATTGTTAAAAAAAGACAAAAAACACAAACATTTTATAATTAAAAAATAAATAATATATATTATAATACAAAAATATATATAATATAAAAAAATAAATATATAAATAATTATATATATATATATATCATTTCTAAATATTATATATAAAATATTCCTAAATATAATAATAATTCTTATTTATATTAAATTATTTGTACATTATATTAAATAATAGAACATTACAATTAGAACATTTATATATTTCTCCTTTCTAAGTTTCAGATTTTGCACGGTTTTTGTGATATTACGAAGTGCAATGTCATGCTGAAGTTTTTTACTTCTGTATGATTTTATGAAATAATAAAAACTGCTTGTAAAGATCTGTGATTTTTAAAATGCAATCCAACAAGCCTTCAGAAAGTGTTGTTTGTTAAATATTATATGAGCATTTTAGATTTATTTAAGAAGAGCTTTGCAATTATATTGCAGCCCTGCAGTATCTAGTTTAAAGCCCTGATTTTGTGTGTTTTCTATTTATTTATCGATTTTTATTGCTTAATGTAATGGTATATCAATTTTTATCCTGTTTGCAGAAAGTGCCTTTTATGTACTTTACCATTTTTATTAAACCGGCAATAAATGGGTCTTGGATGAATCACAGTTTTCCTTTTACAATCTAGCAATACCTTCAAGTTTGTTCTCCTTCATTAATGCACCTGCTGTCTCTCTCTATCGTGGGCTCAGTGTCACGGACTCTGGGATGAAGACGACCCTAAAGAGTCCCATAAGGATGAGTGTCTTAGTCAGGATGAGTCTGTGGACGAGGGGAAGATGGCGGTGGCGATTCCACCCGAGGAAGAGAAGAAGAGTTCTCCAGCGTACTCGCTCAAGTCTGTGAACCTCGGCATGTCCGTGGACTCGTCCCAGGTGCACGTGCAAATATGTTACCCTGAGCATCGGCCTCACCTGCCGCGGCAGAGCACTAGCGGATCTCACCTGTCCCGCCGCTCATCTGCGCGCTCCAAACGCGGTGAGGAGTCATAACACAAACATCCCAGACCTTTGCTTATCTTCTCAGATTCGCATGCATAGATAAACTCATCTTGATCTAGCATCATCATTGTGGACAACTAGTGAAATGAACCGTTTTTTTCTTGGCTATTTTGCCGGGTTAGTCTGTGGTTAAGCATTGCTATGGTGACGTTTGGTTGCTGGTTTGTTTCACAGGCAGCACAAGCACACGGAACAGCATTCGCAGGGAAAACAGCACCATAGACCCAGAAGTTCCGCAGAAGAGCCGCAAAGAAATGATCATGGAGAAGATCCGAGAGCAGCTCATCAAAGCAAAGGTTTATGTGATCAAAAAGTAAGTGTGTTTGGGAAAAGAGATGTTATTGTGATAGATTAAAAAAAATTATATCATGTTTATATATTAAAAAAAATTATTTAGTTTAAAAATATGTATAATATTATATCAAAAGAATGAATTTATATTAAATAAGTTTAATCTTTCTCCATCTCTGAGGCAACTTTTTTCTTTCTGTGGATGCAATGAGTGAGTGGAGACAAATAATATTAACCAATAATATCAGAGCCCAATTTTAGGGCCCTGTGATTTCCACAGTGTGTAAAACACTGTCGTAACACAAACATCCCAGACCTTTGCTTTTCTTCTCAGATTCGCATGCATAGATAAACTCATCTTGATCTAGCATTGTGGACAACTAGTGAAATGAACCGTTTTTTTCTTGGCTATTTTGCCGGGTTAGTCTGTGGTTAAGCATTGCTATGGTGACGTTTGGTTGCTGGTTTGTTTCACAGGCAGCACAAGCACACGGAACAGCATTCGCAGGGAAAACAGCACCATAGACCCAGAAGTTCCGCAGAAGAGCCACAAAGAAATGATCATGGAGAAGATCCGAGAGCAGCTCATCAAAGCAAAGGTTTATGTGATCAAAAAGTAAGTGTGTTTGGGAAAAGAGATGTTATTGTGATAGATTAAAAAAAATTATATCATGTTTATATATTAAAAAAAATTATTTAGTTTAAAAATATGTATAATATTATATCAAAAGAATGAATTTATATTAAATAAGTTTAATCTTTCTCCATCTCTGAGGCAACTTTTTTCTTTCTGTGGATGCAATGAGTGAGTGGAGACAAATAATATTAACCAATAATATCAGAGCCCAATTTTAGGGCCCTGTGATTTCCACAGTGTGTAAAACACAGGCTGAATCATGGAATCCAGTCATAACAATTTTAGAATTTCAGATGAAAAAAATCACAAGTAAGGCTGTACTTAATCAGATCGCTATATGGATTAGTGCCTGTGATTATTAAACTGCAAAATATGAGCATTATTGCGTGTTCTATCTACTACACATACTGAAGCATGCATGACACTCATCTGTCGTCTCAATATATGCATTTCAATATTTCATTTGAGAAAACTATCGTCAGATACACACAAAAACGTAAAGGTCTTCATGACAACCCGTCAAAATAAAAGCTTGATTTAACTTTTATTATTTAATTATGACCAGAATGGCTTACTATTGTACAGTAGAATGTACTTTTCAAATTAATAATAACAATAATAATAATAATGCAGTATATTAAACATTATTTTTAAGGACTCTCACACAATTTTTGGGTCCGTGTTTTAATTTTAAAGAGAAAATCTCTGTTGTGCAGCACTGTTTTCCAAAAAAATTACAGGATTTTTTTTACGTTTGATGTTTTATGCATACATTTGATTACCATTGTCTTTGATGATCAATTTGCATTAAATCATAAAACACAGAATCCAGAAAAACTGTGTTTTTAAATAAAAAAATGTCTTATGGCACTATTATTGTTATTATTTTAATAAATTATTAAATCGCTAAAATTGAGTGAATTCAATTGATTAGACATGCCTTTTGCTTATTTAAATTTAATTAAAGTATTAAAACGGAATTCAGAAAAATTTAAATGGAAAACATGGAATTTGGGAAAAATAAAACTGAATTTGGGGGGGGGGGACAGTTTTAATAGTGCCCTACAATTTAAAGGATCCAATCAATTGGATAATGGATCAATTCAAGTCCCATCCTATGCACGTTTCTCTCTCACTGAACAGATTACAGAAGGGTTATGAATGCCATTTCTGACTGTTTTGACTGATTGATGTGCACTCTTTATCCTATGTTTAATATATTTTATTCTTTTTTTATTTATTTTTTAGTCTGTCTCTTCAGTCTCTGTTTGTCTTCTCTCTTCAGATTGGTTGAGTTCTGTCAGCCCATCCGTCAGTTCTTCTATAACCTGATTCATCCTGAGTACAACGCCGTGACGGATGTTTACGTCTTGATGTTTCTAGCAGACACCGTTGATTTTATCATTATTGTCTTTGGCTTCTGGGCATTTGGGGTAAATTTGAAAAGTATTTGGAATTATAAACACATGATGCATGCCAGTAAGGATTCAGATCAGATCTGCTTTTTCTCGTCTAAGCTGACTCTGAAAATGGACTTTCCATGGCTGTGTTCTGATGTGTGTTTTGTCTGGCTCACAGAAACATCAGGGTGGTGCTGATATCACATCCTCGCTGTCAGAAGACCAAGTTCCCGGGCCGTTCCTCGTCATGGTGCTCATCCAGTTCTAAAGAGTGTCAAACACATGATGCATGCCAGTAAGGATTCAGATCAGATCTGCTTTTTCTCTTCTAAACTGACTCTGAAAATGGACTTTCCATGGCTGTGTTCTGATGTGTGTTTTGTCTGGCTCACAGAAACATCAGGGTGGTGCTGATATCACATCCTCGCTGTCAGAAGACCAAGTTCCCGGGCCGTTCCTCGTCATGGTGCTCATCCAGTTCGGCACGATGGTGGTGGATCGCGCCCTGTACCTCCGCAAGACAGTGATGGGAAAAGTGATTTTCCAGGTCGTCCTGGTGTTCGGCATCCATTTCTGGATGTTTTTCATCCTACCAGGAATCACAGAGAGGTAAAAGAACACTGGGGATTTCACTTCTCAGTTTCAGTTGAGGCGACAAACAGGATGCCGAATTTGAATTAAAATCACACATGATGCATGCCAGTAAGGATTCAGATCAGATCTGCTTTTTCTCGTCTAAGCTGACTCTGAAAATGGACTTTCCATGGCTGTGTTCTGATGTGTGTTTTGTCTGGCTCACAGAAACATCAGGGTGGTGCTGATATCACATCCTCGCTGTCAGAAGACCAAGTTCCCGGGCCGTTCCTCGTCATGGTGCTCATCCAGTTCGGGACGATGGTGGTGGATCGCGCCCTGTACCTCCGCAAGACAGTGATGGGAAAAGTGATTTTCCAGGTCGTCCTGGTGTTCGGCATCCATTTCTGGATGTTTTTCATCCTACCAGGAATCACAGAGAGGTAAAAGAACACTGGGGATTTCACTTCTCAGTTTCAGTTGAGGCGACAAACAGGATGCCGAATTTGAATTAAAATCATTCATTCAGGATTGTTTTGACATTATATTTTGTTATATGTTAATCCTTTATATGTTTAATAGATTAAAATCTGTCAAATGTTTACATCACTTTGCATATTATTAACAAAAATTGTATTTTCATCAACAAAATGCCATTTTAGTGAGAGTCTATGTATGTATAGAAAACTGAATTTCTGAAAAAACAACAACAACAAAAAAACATTTCATAGGGCCATATGAAAAGTTTAATAAAATCATTAAAACCAGAATCCAGAAAAGTGAAAACTGAAAAACATGGGGGGGGGGGGGGAAAAAAAAAAAAAAATTTAA